TTCGAAGTAATTCAAGCCTCGAAATGGAGATAGTTTACATCAGACACAAGCAGCCCATTGAAAAGATATTTTCTGTGAGGTTACGAGTATAACTGATGTGAAACAATGTATATGCAGGTGCAAGATCAGCGACAACAATGCTTCACTAAATCAGCGATCGATCTAAGCAGGAAGTTCAAGAATAAAATAAAGCGAACGATGGTTTTTAAGCAAAAGTTGCAATGTACTAAGTTTGAACCTTTGTAAAACTATTCCGATAAATAACGTAATGATTCGTTCTCTTAATACAGTTCAATTTGTAATATTTAGATAAGTAGAAATACTCAGCAACAGATTCACTCACTCACTAATCAAACTGAATACAGCATAATCGCAATTGATACTAAGATTAATAATAACATGCACGCAATAGCAATTCTGAAAATACTTGGGTGTAAGAAAATTAAACCTTCGTCGGGTTGGACTGGTTCGACGGGAGGATCCTCTGGAGGCGGCTCAACAATGCCAAATATGAGGAGTGAAAGCTCTCCACTGAGGACGACGTAATTAGGATGAAGTGGTGTATCCGGATGAAAACGTCGATGCCACGAACTAATCCCCAAACGACTCTCTACGCTGTCGACGATCTGATGAGTCACACGCTCGATGTACTTGGGTACGCTCTCGAATGGTTGATAATCAAACTACAGGGAAAGATGTAAATCAACAATATCAGTCTCTGGATCAAGCACAAGATCGTAGTCTTCAACGTCGAGATCAGCCATGCACCAATGGATCACGACTCAAAACTTAAATCAAACCGAACCGAACTGAACCCCAAATGAACTGAACAAGTTAACTCGGTTTGGGCCAGAACAAAACAGAACCGACCCGATTACTTCTGCTTTGTTCGACCAGAGGAAGAGAGGCGAAGCGACTAAAGCAGTGCTCTGATCGATCGATGACGACGGGCGTTGACGACGGGACGAAGTAGGCGGCGGTGGACGCAGATGGCGGCAGGATGAGACGATGACGTCGATGACTGAGGCGGCGATAGAGCTGCTTGTATGCGTGGTTGATGGCGGCGACTAGGGTTTCATGGTGGTGGGTGTTCGGGAGTGACAAGGACGGCGGTTGTCAAAGCCGTCGGAGATGGGGATGGCGGAGGTGGGGAGAGAGGAGGGCGGCGGCTGCTTGAACAGAAGAAGGAACAGGGGAGCGATCTAGGGTTTCACACTCACGTTTCACACGTTCAAGCACACAGGTAATTGCAACTAATTTTCAATAATCCCCATTATCTTAATTCTGATTACAACAAGGTTTATATAGAGAATATTACAGATTTTGAAATTTCAATCAAATTTTTCTCAACCTCATCCATCAACAAACTAAATAACTAACAACAATTCAAATCTGAAATCAACTACTAACTGAAAAATAACTAAAAATCTAAATATCAGAACCATATCGCAGGGATCTGATGCACAGCTGAAATACGGCGTCTTCTACGCTGATAAACAGGACGAAAGTCCCATGCACGTGCCTGGATGTCCTCATCAATAACTATGCCAAATAAATAAACCTACCAAAATGTGACCACTTTCTTTAGTGACAACAAAACCAAGTGAAGATCTCGACGACTGTGTGGCTATTATGCAAGCGAATTGCGCAGGGAAAAGCACGGTCACATGCCTTGTGTTAAATGCCTAACTTTGTGCGGAAATAAGGCCTCACATGCTTCTCTCCGGTTTAGTCATTTTCGGCAGGCCTATTTTCAGTAGGCCCATGAAAACGAAATATTG